GCTACATCTACATGCCAATGAAAACTTGAGGCTAGAAGAGAGACAGAGAATAGATTCTACCTGGGAACTATCAGAAGGTCCATAGGGCTACTTACACCTTGATTTCGGAGTTGTGAATTAAACCATCTAGCTTTGGGTGCTTTGTCACAATAGTCTTATAACAATAGTATACTCTTTCTTCTGTTTTATTTTTAGTTGTGAGGTATCTGATACCAGTGTAGTGGAGCTTAACGTAATGTTTTTTCAGTTCCTACCTACATGCAGCCACTCTCCCCGAGTCTGCAAAGTGCTTGCAAAGTGGCTGGGAGAGGGCACTTTCTAGGAATAAGAGAATTCTGGGATGTTCTAAGTTGAGTTACAAGTCAGAGAATGGAGATAAAGATATATTAAGGTGGTCATTATAATCCATGAATTCAAGTAAAATCATTGAATCAAAAAATGGCACATGTTTTTTTTATGTGCTGGGAAATCACACGTCAAAGTCAAATCACATTCTGTTTTAGAACCAACTAAGTAGTCAAGCATAGTAGAAACTTTTCTTTATGGCCTGACCCCCTACACCAGGTCTCTTGCCATGTCACATCGTCTCAGCCTTGTATCTGTAGGTTTCATATTTCTTTTCTACAAAATGTCCAGAAGACATTTTTTTCCCAACTGCTATCTGACTATATGTTGATACTTTAGGGGATTTGTACCAGGATTGGCTCTTTTACCTTTTGGATGCCATTAAACATAGCTTGATACATTCTTATTTCATAGACCCTTGATGTTCAAGAGTTTAACACTGTGTTCCAACATTTTCCCATTGATCCCAGAGCCAGTGCTTTCTCCACAGTCTAATTACTGGACCTGGCTCACTACATTTGACTTTTCTTCATCTGGTCTTCAGTTAACCACAAGCTTGCAAGTGAAGCTTTAATATTAGGCAGGATTAAGTCCTTACTAGGTCCTGTCTATTGCTGTAGGAAGCTTTTCAGTCTGTATGTCAGTCTGTGGAGGCAGATGGGAGCACAAGGGACGGTGTAAAGTTAGACTCACTAGCTAGAGGCATTCAAGACCTACTGAGAACAAATCTTTTGAACTTTCTCACCAAAATGCTTCAGAATCCCTGCTCTGTTCAGTTCAGATGGTCAAAAACAGAGTTGTAAATGTGAAAATAAAGTAAGCATAATTTCACCACCAGTGTTCTTTCTTGCATGGAGTTTTTTGAGGATTGAGGAAATAAATGATCTAATTTTTATTACCTGCTCCTATATACTATGTTTGCTCAGAGCACTTTCTGTATCTTTTTAGTTTTCTTCACACCATCTTCATGGGAGCCATGTTTTCAGATGAGGAGACCGAAAGCTCAGGAAGGCTAAGTAGTTTCGCTTCATATTGGCCATCCCAGGGAATGAATCACAGCTTTCAGGGCTTTTGCTCTTGTGTGGGCCTGTGTCTTCATGACTTGGTCATTTGGTTCTCTTCAGTTTTGGGGATGTGAGCAAAGCTTATAAGATACAGGACTTATTGTCTCGATGGGCTGCCTCTTGACATCTTGAGCATCTAGGGAAGAAGCCTAGCTATTCAGTTGGGGAGACTGCATGAAGAGAGATGTACATTGGCATAATGTATCCAGTTATAGACATTATAATTTTAATGAATTATAAACTATAATTATAAATTCCATAAATTATTTTATAAGGTAAATATGCAACCCGAAAACACTTTCCAGATTAAGAAACAGAACATTACTAGCATTGTACAAGCTCCTTTCATGTCCTGCAAAATCACTCCCCTTGCCAAGACAAATTATCATGAATTTTTAATACTGTGGGTCTGTAATAGATCTTTGTGAAATAAATGATCACACTTGGCTCATACTACTCCTTTTATGGAGATGTTTTATGGTTTTTGTGGCATCTTGTTCATCCTTTACAATGCTTCATTTTTGACTCTCTCTTATTCATTCTCCTATTTTATTTTGCATGTAACCTTTCAGCTAACATACATTACATATTATATTATACAATATAATATACTTTATAGAAGTACTATGTGCTAACTGATTGTACTACTGGAGTTTCTAATGTAAAATATTTCAAAAATATTAATACTTTCATATAAATTTGCCAAGTCCTTGAGGGAGCTTATCAGTATTTGAATTAGATTATATTTAGTATAGTGATTTTGCTAGATAATATGTCAACTTGACACAAACTAAAGTCATCTGAGAGGAACCTAGGTTGAGAAAATGCCTCTGTAAGATCAGGCCGTAGGCAAGCCTGTATGGCATTTTCTTAATTAGTGATTGATGGGGAAGGGCCTGTGGTGCCATCCCTGGGCTAATGGTCTTGGGTTGTATAAGAAAGCAGGTTGAGCCATCCATGGAGAGCAAACCAGGAAGCAGCACCCCTCTGTGTCCTCTGCATCAGCTCTTGGCTCCAGGTTCCTTCCCTGCTTGCGTTCCTGCACTACTGCTTTTGATGATGAACTGTTACATGGAACTGTGAGTGAAATAAACCCTTTACTTACCACGTTGCTTTTTGATCATTGTGCTTCATCACAGTAATAGTAACCCTAACAAAGGTGGTAATTTACATAGCAGATTATCAATTAAAAGATTTAACAGATGAGCATAGTATTTGCAATTCGTTAAGTAAGGATTAGAGCTTATCATTTGAAGAAACTTTGGTTTGTAGACCAGTAAACTGCCTTGTGTGGAGCTTGGGACATGATTCTTATAAAGAAAATACGAGACTATGAAAAAGTGTCTTGGTTTATGGATTAAGTAATACCTCACATGTATATACATTCTCATACATAATTTCAATAAATGATTTATACAAATAAAAAGCATGGCTGAATTTATGGTAGCATTTTGGTGTATTTTTTAACCAGGTGACACTAATGTTGATATAAAGAATGATACGTACATTCAAGAATTATCAGGGCCAGTGAGATGGCTCCATGAGAAAGGTGCTTGCTGTGCAAACCTGACAGCCTGAGTTTGATCCCTGATCTCACAGTGGAAGAAGAGAACTGATTCTTGAAAGTTGACTTTTGACCTCCACATACACACTGTGGTACTCAGACATGCCTATGAATCACAGCAATGACCAACATGGTACAGTAACGCTAAGGGTACAGTAATGACACGCATACCTTGGACTTAAGGCCTGCTCAACAAGAGGGAAATTATGGCTGGTACTGGAAACCTAGCCAATTGCCCAGGGCTAGTGAAGTCATGGATCTTGGAGGAGAACCTACAAATTACCACTTACTAGACCAGCATAATCCCAACTACATTATAAATATTTGTCCTTATGCCCACAGATAAGTGTAGTCTTCACATCTCATCAAGGAAATTTCTCTTTGCAACAGATGGAGACCATTATAGAAGATCACAACTGATCAAAATACAGAGCTGTGGAGCCAAGTTCCAACTGATATCACCTACAACACAACTCCTGTACCTAAGGTTCAGGGATCTTTAATGAAGAGGGGGCAGAAAGTTACACCTATAAAGTCTCACCAACATGGCTGCTTAAACAAGACCTGAACAAGGATGATAGCAAGAGATACGCTAATGTGGAAGGAGGAAAGCTCATGAAACTTCAGCTTTAGACAGAGAGTGACAGGAAACTTAAGGAATCCTTTTTTTTTTTTTTTTTTTCTTGAGACAGAATTTCTCTGTGTAACAGTTCTGGTTGTCCTGGAGCTCACTATGTGGACCAAGATGGCCTCGACCTTCTTCTGCCTCCCAAGTGCTGGGATTAAAGGCATGTGCCACCACTGCCCAGCTGCAACTAAGGAATTCTGAGAACTGGATAATCTTCCCCAGGAAAGGGCATGTCAATTGGTTATCCAGGAACAAATGCTTAGCCTTAAAACATACATACAAGTAATACCATGTGGGCTAATCAAGCTGAATTTATATATTTAAGAATACATAGATATATAAATATATAGACATATATGTACACACACATATATCACGACATTTTAAAAGAGGTCATGTATTTGAGAGAGAGAGAGAGAGAGCAGGGGAGGGTATATGGGAAGGGCTGAAGGGAGGAAAAGGAAGGGGAAAATGTTATAATTGCATTACAATCTTAAAAAATATAATAAAAGTAAAATCTGATTTCACTTTTGGATTTGGAAAATGATACATGTTTTATTTGTGTTTTAGAGTTTGAAGAGAACATGGAATTTTTAATTTCCCCTTCACAATATCTAGCAATGTGAAAATGAGCTGCATAGTAGACATATATATATATATATATATATATGTATATATGTGTGTATATATATATGCATAATCACACAGCTTGATAAAAACCAACAGCTCTCTTATTGAACTTAAGGCCTGCTCAACAAGATAGAATATTTAATTATGTATGAATAAATATACATGCATGTATTTATATACTTAATTATGTATGACCTATACATAGAATTTAGTTATATATACATATACACACATTATTTGAGTTATTTAACACAGCACATGTTTCTGTTAAAAGAGCTTGGTTCTATAAGGATGTTGCATACTTCATAAATAGTTCTTTATTCTTGTCCCCCGAGTCAGGTCTTCAGCACTAACTTTTTCAGTTCTTTTCAAATAGGTATGATAGTCAAATGTGTCATGATCTATAGTCCTTGTGGCCAGATGTGGTTTGAAATTTAGAATTTGGAGTTTAAAGTAATTCAGTGTGCCTGTGATATTTACTATCCCAAGTGATGTCTGGGCCATGAGCTATTATATCCATAAATACTTCTGTCCTGAAATACGAATGTTCACACTTAATTAAATAACAAAGTAAAACTTATCTTGTCACAATTTAAAGAGACTTTTTTACTTGGTACCAACCTTTTGGAGTTTTTAGGCATTGAATTATGAATTTGGGAGTAAAGACCCACCAAACACAGACTTTTAAAGCAAATTTAGCTGCATTCCAAGCATAGTTTGCATTGCTATCTTTTCAGATGCTTAACTCTGTATTTTTCACTTTTTAAAGGAGTGATAGATGCTTCAGAAATAGTTGCTGCCGTGAAATCATTGGGAATCCACATTTCTCTCTCTCAGGCTTACGACATCCTGAAAAGGTCAGCCTGTGCTCCCATTCTTTATTAGTTTTGTGTTTTATGGTCTATGCCAGGAACTAATTGGCATACACGTGGCATTTGAAGTTCCTGCTCTCGTTTTATAGAGAGATTGTTTTACAATTCAAATGGGATTATGTTCCTTTAGACTGTAAGTGTGGTATATTATTCACTTTTCTCTTTATTAACTCACCTGCATTCATTATTGTGGTAAGCACATTGAGTTTGGTTTTTTCTCATGGGGATCGGGGAGGATAACTCAGTCAGTAAGGTGCTTGTTGTGAAGCATGAGACTTGAGTTTGATCCCCAGCATCCACATAAAATCTAGGTAAGTGGTATTCCTTGGACCTATTAGCCAGCCAGCCCAGCCTTGTCAGCAAGTCCCGTGTGTGTGTGTGTGTGTGTGTGTGTGTGTGTGTGTGTGTGTATGTATGTGTGTGTACTTAACACAAACTAAAGTTATCTGTGAAGAAGAACCTCAACTAAGAAAATACCTCCATTAGATTGCCTATAGGTAGGTCTCTGGGGAGCATTTTCTTGATTAATGATTGATGAGGGAGGGCTCAGCCTACTCAGGGGGCACCACCCCTGGGTAAGGTGGTACTGGGTTGTATAAGAAACCAATGATCAACCCATGGTGAACAAGACAGTAAGCAGGGTTCCTCCATGTCATCTACTTCAGTTCCTGACTCCAAGTTCTTGTCCGGAGCTCCTGCCTTGAGTTCCCTATATGATGGACTATTAACTGTAAGATCAAATCAAACATTTCCTCCTCAAGTTTGCTTTTGGTCATAGCCTCATGATTGGCTTCCACATGCACATGAATTGTAAAGCTAGCAGAATGGCTCATGCCAGTACTCCAAGAGTGGGGTCAGAAGCAGTCAGCTCTTAGGTGTTTACTATCCAGACAATCTGCAGACAGAAGTTTCCGTCCCACCTGATCCCTCAGCTGTTCAGTCCCAAATAAATATACAGAGGCTCGGGCTTCTTATTGGCTAGCTCTCTCTTAATTATCAACCCATTTCTATTAATCTGTGTATCTCCACATGGTCTTGGCTTACCAGTGATGCTGGATCTCTTGCTTTCTCGGCAGTTACATGGCATCTCCCTGGCAAGTCACTGTCTCAGTTCCTCATCCCAAAATTCTCCTAGTTTGGTAGCCCTGCCTTTACTTCCTGCCTGGCTGCATCCTGCCTGTCCATTGGCCAAAACAGCATTTATTCATCAACCAGTAAAAGAAACTTATATTCACAGCATACATAAGGACATCCCCCATCAGCAATCTAGTTGAAACACTGAGCTTCAGGTTTAGATCATATCTTAAAAAGTAAGCTGGAGAATCGATTGAGGAAAGACATTCTAGGATCAACTGTAGGTCTCCACACATTCCTGCACAGATGTGCACGCGCGTGCGCGCGCACACACACACACACACACACACACACACACACGAGAGAGAGAGAGAGAGAGAGAGAGAGAGAGAGAGAGAGATCATGGGCTTTCTGGTAAAGCTACTATTGTTTTGACAAATGGGTATGCTGTGTCTATCAAATTGCCTTCTTTTTTTACATTTTTCCATTTTTAATTTAAATTAGAAACAAGCTTGTTTTGCATGTCAATCCCAGTTCCCTCTCCCTCCCCTTCTCCCCCCGCCCAACACCCTATCCCATACCTTTTCTGCTCCCTAGGGAGGGTGAGGATTTCCATGGGAGATCTTCAGAGTCTGTCATATCATTTGGAGCAGGGCCAAAGCCCTCAGCAGTGTGTCTAGGCTGAGAGAGTATCCCTCCATGTTGAGTGGGCTCCCAAAGTCCATTCATATGCTAGGGATAAGTACTGATCTACTACCAGAGGCCCCATAGATTTCCTAGGCCTCCTCACTGACATCCTCTTTTAGGGGGTCTGGATCAATCCTAAACTGGTTTCCCAGACTGATAAGTCTGGAGTCCATGAGCTCCCTCTTGTTCAGGCCAGCTGTTTCTGTGGGTTTCACCAGCCTGTTCTTGACCCCTTTGCTCATCACTCCTCCCTCTCTGCAACTGGATTCCAGGAGTTTGTCTCAGTGTTTAGCTGTGGGTATCTGCTTCTGCTTCCATCAGCTACTGGATAAAGGCTCTAGGGTGGCATATGAGGTAGTCATCAATCTCATTATCAGGGGAGGGCATATAAGATAGCCTCTCCTCTGTTGCTTAGATTGTTAGTTGGTGTCATCCTTGTAGATCTCTGGAGATTTCTCTAGTGACAGATTTCTCTTTAAACATATAATGGCTCCCTCTACTATGGTATCTCTTATCTTGCTCTCCTCTATTCTTCCCCCGAGTTAACCTTCCTGCTCCCTCATGTCTTCCTCACCCCTCCTCTTTTCCCCTTCTCACTCTCCTAGTTTCCTCTCCCCTCCCCCCATGCTCCCAATTTGCTCAGGAGATCTTGTCCCTTTCCCCTTCTCTGGGGG